GGCAGCGGGCTAAGCCAGGCGGCAAACAGCGCTGCCAAGAGGGAGCCTCCTGCATCCGCTGGGCTCCCTCGCGGTGCTAGGGACACGCTGTTGGCCCCTGTTCCAGTGTCCGGCCTGACTGCCTGGCTGGGATGCAAGTGACCCTCACAGCCCCTGCCTCCCCATCATCCTTCTAGCCCAGGCCCACCTCTGCTCCAGCTCTGACTGCTGTTTGCTTACGCCCCTCTGGAAGTCTCTCGACTCGTGGTCCCTGGCCCCCCAAGCAGCCAGCGCTGGGGTGCTCTCCCAGAACTCCCAGCTTCCGAAGGCTTCGGCAAGCACATGCTGCCACCCAGGGTCCCTTGAGACCCCCGGGCAGGCCCTGCGTCACCTGGCAGCCTCAGACTGCCTGCCTCTTGAGACAGGACAGGGGTGGGTAGGACCCGCTCCGGGGGGGCTCCTGTAGGGCCAGGAGCTGGGAGGCTCAAATCCGGCCATTTGTCTATTTGAATGTGTCTTGCTTGTCCGTCTGCCCACGTGTCTCACTGTCTGTCTGGCCATCCGACTGCTACACTCTCTGCCTGCCTGGACATCCCTGGGGTCCCAGACCCTGTGCTGGCATCTGGACACAGACCGTCTTGTTGGGTGCCCCGGCAGCCCATTTCACAGATGAGACACCTGCAGCCCACCGAGGTCGCCCCATGCTCACCCCAGTGCACTCCTGTGACCCTGTCCACCCAAGTCCCATTGCTCTCATGGGGGTGGGGGCCTGCCTGTGTGACCCCTGCTCCTGTAGGGCCACCCCTCTTACACAAGCCACCTCCCCCAGCCACTCCAGCCTGGCATGACTCCCTCTACCTAGCACTCCCGCAGATCAGCGAGTCTGAAACACACAATTTAGCACTTAATTATACACTCTGCTCACTAATTATTTTGTGCCTTATCTCCTCAACTCGTGTGAGCTCCACGAGGCAGAGCCACACTCTTGGGGCCCGGAACAGCCCTCTGAGCAGGCAGGGCTCCTCGCTGCCTGGGCTGGGGCAGGCAGCCACGCCCTGAGCCTAGAACCCCTCCGTGTTGGCACTTAGTGGCCAGGCAGGGGACAGAGGCCGCTCCCCCATTCACGTCGCAAATATTTATCCAGCCCTGTGGGCACAGCAATACACGGGATTTGAAGATGCCCTGTCCCTTGCCCTCCTAGAGCCCGCTGCAAGACAGGCTTAAACAACCCACCCTGGATATATGTGGGGTCTGGAACGGGGGCCCGAGCCCATCCTCTCTCCCTGCTGAGACCTCTCAGCCCCGCCAAGCCCACAGTCAAACCAGTGGGGGAGGGGGCATCGATTCTGTCTCCTGACCCACCTAAAATCACCACGATGGCAGTGGCAGCCTCCCCTGGGCCTCCAAGAGTCTGTCCTCCAACAGGTGGCCAGAGGAAGCATCCCTTTTCTCTCAAACACGGCTCCACATAGAACCAAGTGCCAGTCTGTGCCCCTCACAGGCCTCACGCTGCGGGGCTCTGCTGACGACTTTGACTTTCCCGGCCGCTCAGGCCTTTCTTGCTATCCTGCCACGAGTGTGTGTGCGTGCAGAGAGATCTAGAGAGACAGATCGAGGTACGTTTAAATTGTTTTTAAATGTTTTTATTTATTTTTGAGACAGAGAGACAGGGCATGAGCAGGGGAGGGGCAGAGAGAGAGGGAGACACAGCATCTGAAGCAGGCTCCAGGCTCCGAGCTGTTAGCACAGAGCCTGATGCGGGGCTCGAATTCACAGACCGTGAGATCATGACCTGAGCCGAAGTCGGACGCTTCACCGACTGAGCCACCCAGGTGCCCGGATCGAGGTAGATTTAATTCGGGGAACTGGCTCACCTGATGGTGGGAGCTGGTGAAGTCTGAAATCTCTAGGGCAGACCAGCAGGCCAGAGACTCCAGGAAGGGTTGATGCTGCAGCCTGAGTCTGAAGGCCATCTGCCCCCAGAATTCAGACCTTCGACTGATTGGATGAGGCCCACCCCCGTTCTGGAGGAGAATCTACTTTACTCAAAGTCTATTGACCTCAGTGTTAATCCCATCCAAAAACAAACCTTCACGACAACATCTGCACTGGTGTTCGACCACAGCGTGGCTAGCATGGCCTAGTCAAGTTGACGTATGAAGTCAACTGCCTCAGAAGCCTTCCTAGTAATTAAAATAGCACCTGTGAGGGAGACCATGGCAGGCTGTTCAGACCGCAGCTTTGGGGGTGAGAGCTTTTTGCCCTCAGGTGCAGAAACCTGCCCCATGGAGGTCACCCCCTTCCTGTGAGTGATTGATGTGGGGGCTCCTCCCAACGCGGGCGGCTCTAAGGGACCGGCTGACTACAGAGCTTCCTGTAAGGTTGGTTGGAGCCACGTCTCCCAGCCGGCTTGTCCCTGCCAGTCCTGCCTCCTCCTCCCCTTTCCTTTCGTGTGAGCTAGAAAGTGTGTCCCCCACAAATCAGTGCGTTAAATCCTAACCCCAGGGTGATGGCAGGTGGGGGGCGGGGCCTCAGGGAGGCGATTGTGTCCCGGAGGGAGGAGCCTCAGGAACAGAATTCTGCCCTCACGAAAGGACCCCAGCGAACCCCGCCCCCTCCCCCGCCCCTTCCACCACCGGAGCACAGGGACAGAGGAGGGCCCTCTGTGAACCAGACACGGAGTCTGCTCACACCTTGACGTTGGACTTCTAGCCTCCCGAACTGTGAACTGATGAACCACTAAGACATCATCCACCAGAGCCCTCCCTCCTTCCCTGCGTGCTCGTCTCCATTTCAGGGTCCTCTTCCCGCTCCCCGTCTTCACTGCCTGGTGGGGTCTTTCTTCAGCTGCACTGACCTTGGCCTGGTGTTTATCTGATTTGGATGTATACTGTCAGTCTCCTGCCCTGGGGCGGGGGCTCCATGGGGGCGGGGTTGTGCCCCCAGCACCCCTGACATGCTGCGGACCATCCGCCTCCCGACAGGTGGATAAGCTTGCAGCAGCATCCACTCCAGGCTCTGGTCACCCCAGTCACAGCCAGGTCTGGGTTCCGGGAGCGGGGTGGGCTGTAAGCCTCCCACAGGGCTGGGTTCCAGGTGCATAAGGGGGCGGCTGGGGGGGTGCACGGAGGGAGGCTGCTGTGTGAACCGGACTAGGGTGGGTGTGTGACCTGCAAGGAGGCACTCACTCCCCCTCTGGGCCTGGGACCAGAGGATCTGAGACCCAGAGACAAGAACCTGTTAATTCAAGGCAGCGAGGCAGGTCAGGGGCAGGACTGAGACAGAACGTAGGGCTGTCTGACTCCAAGTTCCCCGTCTTAAGGTGGGGGGGGGGGATTGTGTGGCCCCAGTGAATGCAGAGACCCCGCCAGGGGCAAGCTTTGGGCTTCAAGTTGCTTTGGGGAAGGGGGCATCGAGTGGGGAGACGGAGGGTAGAATGGATTGGGCCCATGCTGTGCAGCAACGGTGGGAGTGGGGAAGCTGGCCGTGAGATCAGAGGCCCAGGATCACATCCACACAGGGGCCGAAGGACGCTGGGGCCGGTCTCGTTTCCAAAGGGAGTCCCATGGCACTCCCCAGTCCACAGGCTGTTCTGCAGCGTGACCTCGTCCCTCCGCTGCCCCCATGCCTGGCCTTGAATCCCGGCTGGCCTTCCGTGGCTCCCTTGCATCCGTAGAACGTGGTGGAACAGCAGGTCCCAGGATTCTACGTCGATTCTTGGAATACTCATTCTCAGGATGCTCCTCTGGGAACCCAGCCACCATGCTGCGTCGAAGCCCAAGCCCCATCCGCACCCAGCCTTCTGGTCGCCCCAGCCCAGGCTCCAGGCTCGAGAGTGAAGGGGACCCCCCCCCCCGTCCGGCCCCTGAGGTTTGAGTCACCACTAGCCTTCAACCTTCCCAGCTGAGGTCTTAGACATGAAGCACAGGCAGAACACCCCACTGGGCTCTGGCAGGCTCCTGACCTACAGACTCCCAGCGCTGAATTAAATGGTTGCTGTTGTTTGCTACTAAGTTCGCAGTGGTTTGTTAACACACAACAAAGGGTAACTCTGACCCTGCTACCCACACACCCTCCACCCCTGGGCCCGCGGGCTTCTCTGGGCCCGCTTTGAACACTCAGGGAGCCTGGAGGCCTGGAGGGCCCCGGGATGGTTGGAGGAGGGTAGCCTGTCCACACCTCGAGTGGCTGAGGCGGAGGAAAAGGCCTGCAGGATTTGGGGAGAGATTTGGGCTTTGGACTCCACCATGACCCAGGCCTGGCCTGCTCTGTGTCACCTGGGCCAGCGTCCTTCCCTCCCCAAATCCCTGCACGGGGATCAGCAGGCCCAGAACACGGGGAGCCCACCAGGCACCTGTAGGCAGCTGGGGTGACGTGTTTTGTTTATGCACGGGCCGCAGCGGGTGCGGCCACCTCTGCGCAGAGGTGGGTTTAGTGGGGAGGGCAGACCGTGTCCCCAGGAGCGCAACTTCTGAGACTTTCTGCTCCTTCCAGGGAGAGAAGCGCTCCCTGTCCTACCCCTCCTTTGCTCTTGAATTCCCTTCCTCTTCTCTCCAATTCCTCCCCTACCACCTGGACATCCCTGCCCCGGCCTCCCGCTGCCCCCCTGGGTCTTCCCTTGCCTCTGGGCCCTGTCTGCACACAGACACCGTCACAGCTTAAACGCCTCACAGCTGACCCTGCTGTGTCTCTGGCTGCCACTCCTCAGACTCCTTTTCCCTCTGAGAGAAGGTCAGGGCGCCCAGTCAAGGTCACCGGCGACCTGGCCCGCCCTGCCTCTCTCCCTGCTTCGGATCCCTCCACCCCTGTGAAATTTCACGCTGCGAGAAAGCTGGCTAAGACTTGACATGGAGGTGGCAGACCCCACCTCAACCAGCGCTCAAGGTCAACAGCGCCTGCAACCAACCATCAGCCATTCAGGTAGCAGGCGCCCCCCGATGTGAGAAGGCACCCACCTCTGTGGTGTTCTCCCGCCAAACCCACAGCTCCTGTGTAATCCTGAGAAAGCCACGGACATCCCACAGAGTAACTGGGCAGTGTTCTTCATAAAGGTCAAAGTCATGAAGGACAAGGGACGACAGAAGAGCCGTCCCAGAGTGGGGGACACGAGAAGACCAGCTGACCAGGTGCGATACGGAGCCTGGACTGGACGTGAGTGGGTAAGCTGGGGACGTCTGAATTTCGGTCAACACTCTTGACCAACGTCTATTTCTTAGTGATGAAAAACACACCCCAGTTGTGTAGTGAGTTAACAGCAGGAGAAGCTGCAGGAGGGTATTTGAGAACTCCATTTCATCTTCGCGATTCTTCCGCGAATCTAAAATAATTTCAAGATGAAACATTAAAAAACTTCAGACGCCTGGAAATTCTGTATTGTGTCTCTTATTAAAACTGTCATACGTGCTCAGTGTAATGATTCCAATCAGCGGAGAGGCACGGCCACAACCCTCCCCTGCAGAGGGGAGCCCGGTCTGACGTCCATCCCTCCGGCTTTCGTGCACACGTTAACGTATATTATTCTCATTACTTCGTTTTCATTACGAGGGGGATTTAAAGCACGCTCTGTCCTGCCACCTGTGTTTTCGCCTGTTACTCCCCCGATACGTCTGCCAGGTCAGGCCGGGCGTTCACGGTCACGGATGCAAACCCACACTGCCAATGGACTTCTCCGTGAGTTTGTAATTTCTGTGCTCGGCCCCTCGTCAGCGCCGATTAGACAGACCCCGTGTTTACCTAGTGACGTGCTCGTTCCAGGAGTGAAAGAAAGTGCCAGCATTATTTTGGCCTAAGCGCACGCCTGCCTCCAATTCAGTCCACATGTCCCTTGCAGGGAACTTCTTCAGCTCCTTGGTCGTTTCGTTGGGGTTAGTTTCATTAAAACCCGAGACCCGCCGTGAGTTCGAGCCCCGCGTCGGGCTCTGGGCTGATGGCTCAGGGCCTGGAGCCTGTTTCCGATTCTGTGTCTCCCTCTCTCTCTGCCCCTCCCCCGTTCATGCTCTGTCTCTCTCTGTCCCAAAAATAAATAAACGTTAAAAAAAAAAAAAAAACCCGAGACCGGAATCCGCAGATCCACTTACCCCGGCAGTGCGCTGAAGGAGCATGAAGCTGTGTGCGTGTGTCCCCTGCCCTGCGGGTCTCCCGTCCCCTGCGACATCTGGGGCTTGCAGGGCCACAGGAAGGTGATATGTCACCTTTCGTCAGATGTATGGAGAGGCTGGTTATAGTCCTTTTTTTTTTTTTTTTTTTTAAGAAGCATCCATTCAAAATACAAGTTCTAGCATTCTCTTCTCACACCCTGTAGGCATGCATAGAAGTTCTAGCTTATTTCTGCAGCTATCTGCTACGGCTTGACCTGCACCGAGGTTTGGTGCTCCATTTGGGGGATGCCTGACCCCAACTTTTACCAGGCTAAAGTGTCCTCTAGCCTCTAGGTAACGGCTTGCTCCCCCAGGAGGCCGCGCCTGGTCTCCCAGGCCGCGCCCCTCCCAGTCTGGTCCCATAGCCACCACCCTCCCTTAGGACAAGGCGGTGACCAGAATAGAGGTCAGAGGGTGTGAGTTGTCCACCTGAGGCCGTAAGGGCAAGGCCCTGGTCCCTATGCCTACACTGCTGAGCACAGGGCTTGTGCCGAAGGAATGGAGGAAGAGTTTAAATGTGCAGGGAAGGCAGAGGTGGTGGTCCCCGGGGAACAGAGGAGTGACACAGGTCGGGCAAGGGGGAGTCTGGGGTTGGCTTGGGCACATGTCCCAGACCCTGCGATGAGGCCAGCCCCATGTCAGTGAGGGCCCCCCCCCCACCCCCCGAGCTGGAACCCTGGAACCTCTGTGCGTGTTGCTCCTCTCTCCTCTACCCTACAGACGCCCAGGCACGTGACCCTACACCAGCCGTGTGGCCATGCAGCTCAAATCCGTCCCTCTCCATTCCTCTCTGCCCCCACCTCCAGTGTCCCCTCTGGACTTCCCTACAGATCTCACACCACTTGCCTGCCTGGATTCTTCCATGGCTCCCACTGCATTCAGAATAAAGCGAAATCCTGACCAGGCGCGAGGCTCACCTGCTGATCCCGTTTTCACCTCGGCCCTGCCGTTCTCCCCTCATTTGTTCCTTGTGCCCTGGTCTCTGCTCGAGCCATCTTTGTCCCCAGGACCCTGACATGTGCGTGGAACCTCCCCACCTCTGCCACATCCACCCTTGCTCGAAGGTCATCTCCTCAGGCCACCGCCCCCCAAACTAGGTCAAGGCCTCCTGTGTTATAAGCATGATGTGTTCGCTTTCCACTAAATTGTGGATGCCACCGGGCAGGGCAAGTCGCTTTCCTCCCACAGCTGTGTCTCCAAGCATCCGGTGAGTATTCATTCAAGGCACACAGAAGTGAACAGACGGGGCGTAGTGAGCAGCTGGCTGGTGACACCGGGGCGAGGCCCTGCGTTTGGGCTGAAGGTGGCCTCTGCAGTTGGGGACGCCCTCGGAGGCCCAGGGTGGGCTGGGGGGAGGGGGTGGCAAGTGTGTCCGGAGGGCACGACAGTGTCCCGGGTTTCCCTCCCCTGGGGGGCGGCTCCCTTTGTGTCTCCAGCCCTGGCCAGGGGGCCGAGGGAAGGCCCACCGCCTCCCTCCCTTCCGCTCACGTGTGTGCATCCAGGAGTAGGGCAGCCGTACCTGTATGCCTGCGTGGATCAGCCCTGCTGTGGCGGTGAGCTTTGCGACTGTCTGGATCTGCGCGGGGCGGGGGCGGGGGGTGTTTGTGTGTGAGCGTGTGATTGTTTTGGTTCGCTATGACGGGCGTGGGCGTGATCCTACAGGGGGGCCGCCGGGTGCCTCTGTGGGGGCGCGTCTGTGCTCATCTGAGCCTGCCTGCCGTGGGGCGGGTGTGTCCCCAAGCGCCGGCGGGGCTGGGTGGGGGTGGTTTGTGCGCCCCTCCAGCGTCTGGATATTCGGGGACCCCTGCCAGGGGGCCCACCGGACCCTGCCCTGCCCCGCCATCTTCCTCTTCTCTGCAGTTCCCGTCACCTAGCAACCGGGGGACTCCAGTCGGCCAGGGGGTGGGGGTGGGGGGGTCTCAAAGACAAAGACAGTGTCTCTGGAAGGAAGGGCTGTGCTGGGAGGAGGAGGGTCTCTAGACTCTGCTCAGAGTGGAGCCTTGGGCCCGCCCGAGGGCTGCCTCCACCAGCTCATCCCGCGTCACCAGACAGCCCTCTCTTGGTGGCCCCTCCACCCTCCCCCTTCCTCCTGGGGCTGGCACAGCCGCTGGTCCCACACGCCGCCCCCACCCTCCAGGGAGCCTTGTGTGGGCCTCTGCTGGGTGGGATGTGAGGACAAGATTGGCACGGACGCCGGGCACACGGTCTGGTGGCTCTCGGCTCCACAGACTGAGGCCCGGCACTGAGCGTGTGCTGGTGAGCGCAAACCCACCGAGGAGCTGGGCAAGTGGCTCTGGCCGCAGACAGGCGGACATCCATAGCTGCTCCTCCGGGGATGTGCTTCCCTTCCCCAGAAGCCAGAGGCAGAGGGCATTCGCCTGCGGCTTTGGGGTGAAGGCCTGGCGATCCCGGGGGACAGGAAAAAGAAGAGCTCCCCATGCCTCCCAGTGGTTCTCAAGGTCCCGTGAGACCCGCTCTCTTCCGGGGATGCCAGCCTCCTCTCCGGTGCACTCCATTCCCTCGCTCCAGCCACGACGGCTGACAGGCCACACCGATTCTGCCTCAGGGCCTTTGCACGGCTCCTCCCTTTGCCTGCACATGCTTCCTCCAGGGCTCCATGGAGCTCGCTCCACCATTCGGGGTCTCGCTCAGCCGCAACGGCTTTGGTAAGGCCTGCCCATCTAAGGCGGCTCCCCTCCCAGCAACCTGCATCCTACCCCTACTTTATTCTACCTAGTGCTTCTCCCTCTCAAAGATGACCCTATTTACTAAGCTAGTGATAAAATAAAGATTATTCATAAATAATTATAATAAAAGGCAAGGCAGTTTTATTTAGCACTTACTAGGTGCCGAACACGCACTGTTCAAGCCCTTGAGGCATTTTAACTCTGTTACCCAAGGAGCAACTGTGTGACGTAGGAGAAATGATCATCTCCTCTTTATCCCTGAGGACACTGAGGCAGAGGGAGCATGGCCACAAAGGGGCTGTCCTTTTGGTTTGCTGTTGCGTCCTTGGCACCTGTGCATGGGAGGGGCCCAGGGAATATTCTAGGGAGAAAAGATCGTGGCAGAGGAATACAGGGCCTCCCACCCCCCGGGGAAGGGGCCCACCGCCTCTCTGCCTAAGGCTGTTGCTGTAGCATTGCTGGTGAGGGTCTCCCGCTGCTTCGTGGATCAGACCTTGAAGAGAGACTGCCAACCTCTGGCTTTGGAGATGGGACCACACAGAAGCCTCCCCATCTTGCTCCGCTGAAAACAGTTGGACCCTGGAGAGAGCACTCAGTCGTGCACTCAAGAGAAAAAAGATCAGACCCCCGCTTTCTCCAACGTTGGTTTCGGGTGGTGCAGAGAAAGCTGACCAAGCCCCCGTCCTCAAAGGGCTCGCTGTCTCAGGAAGACAGAAGGTTGGCCGGCCATCCGGATTGCGGTGGCATCCTCCAGGGATCTTGTCTTTTATCCACAGTTGGCAGCGTCCTGTACCGGACGTGGGTAGAGCCAGATTCCAGGGTGTGCGTGGGTCTGTCGCAGGCAGCCCGTCTCTGCCTGATGATCAAAACTGTAGCATGCAACAGAGACACACGGCAACATTGATCTCAGGTTGGTGATGCCTGAAGGTACAATGTTCATGGATGTCTTTGGCCTCCTGCTTACGATAAAAGTTAACATTGTGGTACTTGTGTGGCCCACAGCTTGCTCCCAGCATGCTGAACAAACCACCAAGCCACCCGTCTCCATTGTGAGTCCTGGCCGGGGAGGGCTTGCAGAGGAGGTGACATTCTCTCTGCATGTGCAGGGACAAGACCTCGGACACAGCTGAGATCCCCGTGGATCCCTTGACCATCTCTGAGCACCCGTTCCCCGGCTCCCTTGGGCTTTTCATTCTAGCAGCCTCACTCGTCACCCTTCTTGTGAAGGTTTCTCTAGAGCCACTGGAGCTGTCCTGCCACTTTGGGCAGAGAGTGACAAAGGCCCCCAGGTGGCCCTCAGCCAGTGGCGATGGGTGCGGTAGTAGGAAAGCCTGGCTCCCTTGCTTCTGGTGTAGCAGACACTCGAGCCCTGGCCCTGCACTTTGCTTGCTTCCTCACCTGCTATGTCTCATGTGCTTAAATGCTTTTTCCAATGGGGCACCTGCGTGGCTCAGTCGGTGAAGCATCCGACTTCGGCTCAGGTCATGACCTCACACTTCACGGGTTCCAGCCCCACTCTGCTGTGTGACAGCTGACAGCTCAGAGCCTGGAGCCTGCTTCTGATTCTCTCTCTCTCTCTCTCTCTCTCTCTGCCCCTCCTCTACTTGTGTTCTGTCTCTCTCTCTCAAAAATAAATGAACATTAAAAACAAAACAAAACAAAAAAATGCTTCCTCAGCGTCTGACCAGAGACAGACAGGGGAAGGGCGTGGGGAATAGCATTCTGAGCAGAAGGAGAACAGAAGCGAGGCAAGGAGAGGACGAGGAATTGCCTTGGAGGGGGCACAAGGGGTGGGAGGAAATGAAGCTAGATGGGGAGGGATGTCCCTGAGTTCCCAGCAGAAGGGTGAAGGGCACACAGGAACCTTCATGGTCCCATGCAAGGGGAGTGGTGCCATCAGATTTGTGCTTTTCCAGCAGTTCCCACCCCGGTGCAGGCTGTGTGCACACACACCGTGTCAGGATTATTCGGGCAACGTACCCCTTTCCCTCCCGAGCAGAAAAGGATTTACTATGAGGAGGGAGGGGCTTACAAATCATCAGAAGGGCTAGAGGATCAACAGCTAGGGATCTCGTGGGTACTGACAGCTTTCTGAGAATTAGGGGGTTGCTGTTGTATCTCAGGTTGGGAAATTGCAGAAAATTGCTGAAGATGCCAGATGCTTTTTTTTTTTTTTTTTCTTTTTTGGTACTCAGTATTTGTGGAATGAATAAGTGAATACACACATGCTTTCATATTACATCTGTGCCACACGAACCAATTTTTTCCAACTTAATAGTGTTTCATTACAGATTGACAAAATAATAACACAAAGAGCACCTTCATGGCTAAGTTTTTTTTTTTTTAAACCTGAATACAAATCTTGGGGCTCTCCTGATTGTTATCTATACGAATACATGTGGATGCAAAGTACAGAAAGTAATTTTGCACTTTAATCTTTTTCTTAACTTTTTATTTCGAAATATATCTAGAGAAGAGAGTTGCCACCGTCCTATAAAGAGATCCCTGGTACTCCTCACTCAGTTTCCCCAACGGCATCATCTTCTGTGACTACAGTATATTACACCCAGAAATTGACTTTGCGAGGTTGCTTGTGCCTAGTTTTACTTCCTTTATCACAAGTCCATTGGTGTAAGTCCACAGTGACTGAGATACAGAACCGTCCCTTGCCACAAAGATCCCCCCTCATGTCCCTTATGGTTGTAACCACCCCCTCCCTCCACGATTTTTAGCCCTGGCAACCACTAATTTGATCCCCGTCTCCAGTTTTGTCACCTCGCACATTTTATCGAAATGGCATTCCCCAGCATGTGAACTTTTGAGATTGGCTTTCCCCACCCAGCCCAATGCCCTTGAAATCCTCCCGAGCTGTCACAGGTATTAATGGTTTGTTCCCTTTTATTGCTGGTCCCGGTATGCCACAGTTTGCTTTAACATTCACCTGTGCTGGTCGTAGGACGTTTGGATTCTTTCCAGGTTGGGGCGATTATAAATAAGGCTCCTATGAACAACTATGTGCAACTTTTTGTGTGGACATAAGATGTCTTTTCTCTGGGATAAATGTGCAGGGGTATGATGGCTGGGTTGTACAATACATGTACCTTCAATTTTATAAAAAACTGCCCACCTGTTCCCAGAGTGGTCGTCCAGCAACTGGTGAGCGTCTTACTATTCCACACCCTCTCCAGTGTTTGGTATTGTCATTATATTTTGTCACGTTTTCACTTTCAACCTACCTATATCATTAAATTAGAAGTGAATTTCTTACAGACAGCACACAGTTTTGTTGTGGTGGTGGGTGTTTTGTCCATTGTGCCTGTCTCTGTCTTTTAGTTGGTATATTAGACCATTTATATTTAATATTATTGTTTATATGTTAGAGCTTAAGTCTATCATTTTATTTTTTTGTCTTTGTTTATTCTTTCTGTTTTTAATGTTGTCTTTTTTCTTTAAATATTTTTCTTTTTCTTTTATTTTAGGAAGAGAGGGAGAGGATGAGAGGGGGAGAGGGGCAGAGAGAGAGAGAGAGAGAGAGAGAGAGAATCTTAAGTTGGTTCTGCACTCGGCACAGAGCCTGACATGGGGTTCAATCCCACGATTCTGGAATCGTGGCCTGAGCTGAAATCAAGATTCAGACACTCAACTGACTGAGCCACCCAGGTGTCCCTCTCCGTTTTCTTTTTTCTGCCTTCTTGTGGGTTACTTGAACCTTAAAAAAATTCCATTTGGTTTATATGTAGCGCTTTTCAGTGTATCTGTGTATACAGGCATTTTAGTGATATTCCAGGTATTATACTATGCCTACATAACTTATCAGTTTACTAATGCTGCCATTTTCTTAGTGGGACTTAAATCCCATTACGTCCCTTTAGTCTTCCAATTTCTAATATGATTCTCTCACATATTTCCTCAGCATATATTGGGAATCATGTCGGATAGTGTTATGATTTTTGTTTCAATTACCAAGCACAACTTAGAAGACGAAAGAGGAGATAAAGTCTATTGTATTTCTTTATATTTTTGCTTACTATGCTCTTTCTGACTGATGTTCCAAGAGTCCTTTCTTTTATCATTTTTTTTCCTTTTAGCTTAGAGAACTTCCTTTAATCATTCCTTTTGGGTGGGTCTGATGGTGACAAATTCTCTTA